GCCAAATTAATCTTTTTCTCTTACTGTGTTACGCCATTTCACTCTTCCCTAATAATTATTCGATCTCATCTCTTAATCTAGTTTACGTTGTTTTATCACTTGTTCGTTTTGCCATCCATGGGGTGTGTTGCTGTTTGCATTTGTTTGTATTCCAGCTGCTTCAAGTTCAACAACCAGAATGAAAACCACTGAGCCAAACCACATTTTTACCATTATTGTAATAATAATATTAATTTTAATATTATTTTATTTATTTGTATTCATTCCCCTCCACCACTATAGCTTGGCTAGGCATTCCTACTACTGCGACCAGTGTGTGGCTATTTTATATAGGTCGATAAAACACGAGTACTGTACGATATCTCGATAATAGTTAGCTTAATCCTAACCCTCTTCAGCGTATTAGGCATAGGCATAGATCCCGGGGGGGGGGGAAGATGGGGGATATATCCCCCCAAATATTTCACAAGGGGGATGGTCCATTGTATCATCTCCCCCCCCACCCCAATATTTTGACTATGTATGGGATAAAATGGAGCTTTACACACTTCAAAAGACTGTCACAGAAATAATTTGCACTGTCTTATGCGCTTTCAAAGATGATGTAAGATGTATTAATGTTGATAACAAAATTATTTTATCTGGTACCAATCTAAGCTCTTCTTTCCTTAGATGTTAGATGTGCTTGCAAAGACAGTTATATTTCACACTGAAGTGTGTACGACATCAGTAAAGATATGTCAATTCTAAGAATGTTTAAGGTTATATCGGGTGCTGAGGAATTTATTGATTAGGCCTATAATAGCAAATTGCATCAATTTATTTTGCAAAAACAAGGTTTCCAGCTTCACCAGGCGCATAACAGGGGTCTTGGGTCAGAATGGGTATTTATTTTCCCGGTTAGTAATTTACCATAGACACCCCGCCACACTCCCCAAATAGAAAACAAACATAGGGCTTATCTTATTTATAATATAGGCCACACACGTGTGTTTTGAAACTAAATATAAGCATTTTTATCATGGTTTTATTTATTACAAACATACTCTTTCACCATCAATACACATTGAGGCCCTTCTTTTAGGTTAAAACTATCTAACTTAAATTTTTCTTTCTTGAGTTTGGGACTATTATGTGTTTAAATATCTCAAAAGGATAAACCTTTAAAAAAAAACCAACTAATTTCATTGGAATTGATGAAAACTCTCTAAAATGTGCAATTTATAGAGGAAATTGGCCTACCATAACAAGAAATGCGCGCAAAGAATTTGAGAATTTTAGGCACTTTCAGAGGATGCATTTGTCAAGGGGTGGGGAAAGATTTTCCAAAGATAGATTTTTTTCCCTTGTCCCCTGGTGTTTTTAATTCTAATTACTTTGGAATTGATCAAAACTCCCTAAAATGTGCAATTTTTAGAGGAAATTGGCCCATGTTAACAAGAAATGTGCGCGAAATTTGAGGTTTTTAGGCGCTTTCAGGGGATGAAAAGGGCATTTATAAAGAGGTAGGGAAGATTTTCCAAAGATAGATATTTTCCCCTTGTCCCCCAGTGGTTACGCCATCAGGCAGCATAGATCAAAGGAGTTATGACAGTTTTTGAAGTGGAGAAGGGGTTGCAGGGTGTTGTGAGTCTGGTCATTATGATATTCTTTTTCTATC